TATGAATGAAATCTTTTAAGGATATTTGTATGGGAAGAAGATTCCTATGTTTATCATTATATTTGTATATAATAGATATTATTAACTACTTATTAAATTTTTATTTCTAAACATTTCTTTTAAAAAATTTAAATATATATTTTAATTTACTTTTTCTATCACCATTTATTCCCCATAATTTCTTCCACCTCCCCCCAGACCCTTCCCCCCTGCAATCACTACACTGTTGTCAATGTCCATGAGTCCTTTTCCTTTTTTGCTCAATCCTTCCACGCCTGGCCCCTCCTCCTAGCTGTCAGCCTGCTCTCTTGTGTGTGAGTTTGTCACTATTTTGCTTGTTAGTTCAGTTTCTGTTTAGTACTTAATTCCCTCCAGTTTGTCTTCAAATTCTTTTATTTTTATAATGTTTTTATTGATTTTTTAGGGAGAGAGAGAAAGGGAGAGCAAGAGAAGATAGAAACATCAAGGATGAGAGAGAATAATTGATAGGCTGCCTCCTGCATGCCCCTTACTAGGATCAAGCTCATAAACTGGGCATGTGCCCTGACGGGGAATTGAACCAGCAAACTCTTAGTGCATGGCATAATGCTCAACCCACTGAGCCATGCAGACCAGGCTGTCTTCAAATTCTTTTAAATTAAAAGCTGAAGAACTTACTACAACGAAATAATAAGAATGTTAATGTGTGCTCTGGGCCTAACATCTTAGAAGCAAAATCCTAGAGGGCATAGCTTTTTAAAAAATATATTTTTATTTCATAAAGGAAGGGAGAGGAAGAGAGAGATAGAAACATCAATGATGAGAGAGAATCATTGAACGCTGCCTCCTGCACACCCTCTACTGAGGGTTGGGCCCGCAACCCAGTCATGTGCCCTTGACCAGAATCGAACCCGCGACCCTTCAGTCCACAGGCTGACGCTCTATCCACTGAGCCAAACCAGCTAGCCGTGGTTGGCAAACTGCAGCTCGCGAGCCACATGCAGCTTTTTGGCCCTTTGAGTGTGGCTCTTCCACAAAATACCACGTGTGGGTGCGCACATACAGTGCGATTGAAACTTCGTGGCCCATGCACAGAAGTCGGTATTTTGTGAAAGAGCCACACTCAAGGGGCCAAAGAGCCGCATGTGGCTCATGAGCCGCAGTTTTCTGAGCCGCAGTTTGCCGACCACTGAGCTAGGGCAAGGGCATAGCTTTTTAATTTGTGTTTTCTTTATGAAAAATTGTGAAGTGAATGAGTCTGTGTTTTACACCTTTGTCTTTCCTTTCTAATGTTTTTGCTCCCACTGTTCACTTTGTCTTCTATCTACCTCAAGTGCCTGCTGCCTGGACGTTTTCATTTATTACTCACACTGGACCTCCTTCCAAAAAAAGAATTAAGTCTTCAGATAATAAAAAGCACAAATACAATAAAATCATTAAAACAGGGATAGAGTTAAGCAATAAAACAGCAGGGATAATTGTGTAGACCATTTAGAAAACACTGCAGCTCATCATAAAACTTAACCCTCAACAACCTGGTAGCAACCAGAAACAGAAAAAACAGATAATTTTGCCATCTTATCCAGTTAGGATATTGACTCACCCATAGAGAAAACTTTTTCTTGATTGTAAATGCTGAGATCAGTATAAGGAACAGTGTACTGGATTGTATTTCTGCACAAATGATAATATAATTTACATGTAATTATATCTCAAAAGAAGTCAAAAGTGTAATGCTAAATTATAAACAGGTAGTTCTGGTGTGCCAGAATGATGTAATCTGGATATGATGCTTTTTAAAATTGATTATTTTACTGGCTTGATTATTCCAAGCCTTTTCAGTCAGGTATTAGTTCTACTTCTTTATGTGTTTTTGTTTGTCTGTTTATATTTTGCAGACATTCCCATGATAGTTGCTAGACTTTCAACATCTGTGGAATGAGAAAATGTATAACAATAAAAGGCTATTGTGTACATTTTATGTACATTTGTATTTTATTCAGAAAAGCTAACTACTGGCATTTATTGAGCACTAATTTTGTATCAGATATTAATTTATTGTTTATACAGATTCCGATCATTTGAAGACTAAAATGTTAATTCCATGAGGGCTAAAATTTGTTTTGTCCCAGGTGTATGGTATATGCCAGTCCCTCTCCTGGAAAGTTATTATTTTTAACTTTGTAGTAAATGAGTATCTGATGGGGGATATAATTAAAAACTTTGTAAATGGCCTGTTTCTCATAATTTTGCACTTCAATTTTAGAATTGAAAGAGTTATTACTATGATGATTGCCAAGTGGAAAAGTTCTAACTCCATTATTCTTTTTACATTTATTAGCTGTAAGAGCTTTTCTTTCTCATTTGTCTGTTTATCAGTGTGGACACCTGAGTTCTTATTTTATTCAGTGGGTTATGATCAGTTACTATCATTAGTTTGCTCAAATTTGGTCAGTGGGAACCCCTTCAATCTGACTCCTATGTCTTTCTGACATGTTCATTATTCTTTGAATATGCCCTTTTGGCACAAGATGTTCCCAGCCCCACTCGTGGAATTAGACATTTCTCCAAGGAGTCCAGGTTCCTTTTAAATGAGACATTGGATTTAGAAACTAAGATCTAGGGGTTAGGAGTGCTTTTAGTTAATGTTTAGTGTTCTTGTTTATTAACTCTTGCTAACAGGGTTATATATGCATATTTATATATGTACTAGAAGCCCGGTGCACAAAAATTTGTGCACTGGGGGGGGGGGGGGTAGGGTTGGTCCCTCAGCCCAACCTGTGCCCTCTCACAGTCTGGGACCCCTTGGGAGATAACCACCTCCTGGCTTAGGCCCGCTCCCCTGGTGGCAGATGGTATGCCCAATTCCGTGGTGTCTGCCCTGTCTCCCCCGGTTGCAGATGGCAGGCCCGGATCCCGCCCTGGGTTGGGCAGCTGCTCAGATTGTTCTGCCACCTGCCCCGCCCACGACGCCCTGCACACAGCAGGCCCGAATCCCACGCTTGGGCAGACTGCGGCTGGGGATCGCGCTGCCACCTGCCCTGCCCGCCGCACCCACCCCTCCCCGCACACAGCAGGCCAGGATCTCACGCTGGGGCAGCCAGTGGCTGGGGATCATGCTGCCACCAGCCCCAGTTGGGGCAGCACAGCGGGATTTGCCTGCAGTATACAAATTAGCCTCCATCTTTGTTGGCGGCTAATTTGCATATCAAGCTGATTAGCCAATGGGAGTTGTAGCGAAGTTACAGTCAATTACCATGTTTCTCTGTTATTAGGATATATTTGTGTGTGTAAATAAAACTTCAGTAAAATGTAATAGTGGAAAAAAGCAGTATTACTAAATTAATTATGCAATTAAAATATGTTTATAGTTAACACCTAAATATTGTAGGTCACCATAATATTACATCTCAAAAATATTAATAGTGGTTAAAACTTTTTTTAGATAGCTGATTATTTCCTTACTAGAGGCACATTGCATGAAGAGATTCATGCAATAGGCCTTCCCTTCCCCTGGCTGCCAGCACCGGTTTTCCTCCGACACCTGGGACCCAGGCCTTCGCTCCGGACGGAACCTTCAGTCTTTGCGGCTCTGGCTGGAGCCTTCAGTTTTCACGGCTCCGGACGGAGCCTTAGTCTTTGCTCCGTTGCTTCGCCCCTACGTATGCAAATTAACCACTATCTTTGTTGGGTTAATTTGCATACTTTCCTGTTTGACTGGTGAGCATAGTGGAGGGACGGTTAATTTACAAGTTTGTCTATTATTAGGTAAGATATTTGGGGTTGCCATATATCTGACATATGTGCAGTTTTCACCAAGGAGGGGAATATGCTAGTTACTAGCTTAGTTTTCTTATGAATCTTTTCTACTTTGGTGTAGCACAGGCTAAAAAAATATTTTCATGGATTACTAGTTTCTTATTAGAATCATGATTATAAATGAGCTCTCAATGCTGCCTACTGGTTGACTGGGCCATTCTAGTAAGTTAGCTTTCCTACAGACCATACTTCTCAATCTTGTGGAAAATATGTATCCTTTTTTAAAGAAAATAATCTTATGGTTACCCAGTGTTAACAGTATTGATGCTCGCACCCTGAATATAGTGCTGTATGCTAAGGTACAGATCTTTTGGGTTCAGCATGCCTAGACAGCTAGGTGCTTTATGACTCAAACCTTCCACCGTTGTTTTTGTATTTGAACTACTATGATCCTTTCATGCAGCAAGGGCTATCCTGGGCTATCATTTGGCCTCCATGTGGCAAGAATATCTCATTTCTATAAGTTCACCTCTGCTGTATTCTCATTAATCTGCAACTATTAATTCAGACTTGCTCTTTGGTTATTTGGTTATTAGCACAATCCAGAACATAATATTATTTATGCAAATGCATTTAGAAATTTATAGACATAAGAATTTTAATTTTGAATATCTGTATTCTAACAAATGAGAAAAAAACTGTTACACAAATTAATCAAAGTTCAGAAGTAACAAAAACAGGTTATAGAAAATAAAAAAAGAAGACATAAATCCTTCCTAATTGCAGAACCCTAACACAGACATTCTAGAGAACTAGAATTTCCAGTCTTCTATGCTTGTCTATGCAGATAGCTTCTTTTAGATTTTGTGATTATAATGTGTATATCATTTCACATACCAGCTTCTCTTTCCAAGCTCCATACAAGAAAGTTGTCTCCATTTATCCTACCTTAGAAGTAAATTTTAAAAAGCAACAAATATTTATTCAGTAAATGTGTATGATTAGAGTGCTGTAAATCTTACAAATTTAGAGTACATTTGTTTAGGGAACCATAGTTGTAGTACATCAATTTACATTTCTGTCATAATCAAATATCAAAAGAAACAGACTTATTTTAAAACTACTATGTTATATAAGATCTACACTTAAATATTTATTATAATTAATTAATAACAAAGTACTCTCTATAAATCTCTTCATCAGTTGAGTAGCACACATAATTTTAAAGATTTCTTTTTTTGGTCTTGTCTGTGTATTTTTAGCACAAGAAGATTTCACTGAAGCAGGAAAGTACCTAAAAGGATGTGTTATCACTGGAATTTATTCTGAAGAAGATGTTTTGATACTGTAAGTTTATTGGTCTTCTAATTTTAGGAAGAAGTTTACAAAATAATATATTGCTTCTCTTTACATAGTTGACAAAGAAAATAGGGCAGAAACATTACAAGTTTTAATTTTCTTCTAGGAAAATCTGGGAAGTACCATGTGGCTATTTAGTATTTTTAGATACTCTTTTACATTCAGCTAGTGCCCCCAGAGGAGCAACCTTGGATTCATATTACTTCATTTTCCTATAAAAATTGTTCTCTTTGGGTTCTGTAGCTTTTTAAAAAAAATATGTTTATTTAATTTATTTTTTTAAATGCATGCATTTAAAAAATATATTTTTATTGAGTTCAGAGAGGAAGGGAGGAGAGAGAAATAGAAACATCAATGATGAAAGAGAATCACTGATTGGCTGCCTCCTGCACGCCCCCTATTGGGGGTTGAGCCCACAATCCGGGCATGTGTCCTGACCAGTGAGTTGGTTCATGGGCGATGCTCAACCACTGAACCACACCAGCCAGGCTGTTACCTGCAGTTTTAATTTTTGCAATTGTTGTATTTTGGGGGTGTGTGTGTTGGGGGGTACTTCTTGAGTGTTTGGGTTTTGATTTGCCATATATATAAAAATCAGAGTTTTTTCAGATTTCGCCCAGAGTTTTAATTGATGCAACTATACCTGATAGTTCTACTTAATTTTAAGTTAACTGCTACCATACACTTAATTAGTATTTTTTAAAGCCACTTAAATTGCTTTATTTTAGAATTTGGGTCTCCTGTGAACTACCAAATATTTCAGTTGCTGCAGAAAGAAGGACAACTGAAAATTTGGAGATGATCACATTCTGCATAATGGCTCATTTTCAGGTGCAAGTGGAGTTAACCTCAGGAGTTTCTCTTTCTTACCTTCTCACTATGATATTCCTAATTGTTATTTCTGAGCTTAAATCTTTCATGCTGAACTGGTGACATATACTCTTAATGATTAAGCTCCTGTTCTATCCATGAAATCAGTAATTTAAAAAAAATACTGTATTCTAGATTTTTAGGAATTATGAGACCTAGTCAGTCGCCTGACACATGGACAACCGCCCACTTTTCTGCTATCTTTGTGCATTTAATCATGGCCCAAATAACTAAATCAGTCATTTTCAGGGTGTGTTTTGTTTATAACCCAACTGGTCAACTAAGAGGGTTTTGCAGGTAATCTGAAGGCTGGCCTCTCTACCAATGTGTATATTAATCTAATGCCTGTATTTTATTCTAACAGGAGTTTTTTACATGATATAAATGTGACTATATCACTGGTAATTTCACACAAAGCATTTTTTCCTATTTAATTTAGTGATTTACTTAGCAAAAGTAGTGTCAGGAGGGAGCAGGTTTGGGCTCTGTTACAGTGGAGACAGACCGTGTCTGGAGAACCTCAGTTTGAATTCTCTCTCTGCTATTTATCACCATCCAAGTACTTACTGGTTTCCTCTTCTGGAAGCTGGGGTTAACAGTGGCTGCTTTATAGGGCTGTTCTAAGGGTTAAATGAAAACTTAACTAAAAGCATCTGGTGTAGTGCCTGCAAAGAGTAGATTTCTAATAAATGCCCCTCTCCTTGCTCAGCAGTATGGTGAGCAGTCCAGAAAGTTTGAGAGCTATTCAATGTGTTCCTAATCCTGTTTAGACATTTTCTTGATGGATAAGTTTTCTAGGGAAAAAAATCTGGGCAGATTATTATCTGTTGCTTTCTTTCAATCTTGGTCGTCAAGGCTACAGAAGATAAATTTGTCTATAAATTGAGTTATTACTTCCTTGGTAGTAGGACTTCCCATTTGCTGCCTTCCACTGTGACTCCTTGTCCTCATTGTTTATGTTTTTGATGACTTGCTATTATTTAGTTGAAATTTTTAAATATATATTTCTCCATAGGTCAAATAAATATACTACAACTCTTCCAGCCCTGCTGCTTGCCAGACACAAAGAAAGCCAAGTAGAGAGCATTCCATTGGCCAACACCCATGTGCAAGAAATAGTTCAAATAATAACAAATGCATTACTGGAAACATTTGTGAGTATATTTTATAATAAGGATGTTATTTGAAATAGGGATATCTAGATGAGTTAAAGGTAGTTTATTTTAATATGTAATTTTACAGCTTTTATTGGCATATGGCATGATGTTTGTGACAGAGGATTCATTGGGTTGCTGTTTTATTGTTCACTTATTATGCATGAAGCTTCTCTAGTCCACTGCCTAAAGTTTCCATGTCTTTGGATTATTTTTATTTCTGAGGCCAGTGTGGCTGATGGCCAGTTGAAGTACTTAATCTAGGCTGAAACTTGGTATAAAGCACATGGATTCTGGAGAATCAGACTGCTCAGCTTCAAATCCTTGGCTTGATTACTTGCTGGCAGTGTGTTAACTTCTCAGTGTCTCAGTGTAAAATGTAGGTGATAGTTGCAACTGCAGAGCATTACTGTAAAGACTAAATGAGATTATTTGTGTTCAGTGTTTGGCCCCTGGTAGACATTCAACAAATGTTAGCTGATTTTTTTTTTTTTTATTCCAGAGAGGGAGGAAGGGGAAGAGAGACAGAGACAGATGTCAATGTGAGAAACATTGATTGGCTGCCTCCCATATGCACCCCGATTGAGGATTAAACCTGCAACCTGGGTTTGTGCCTTGACCAGGAATTGAAACCACCACCTTTTGGTGTATAGTACGATGCTCCAACCGAGTCACACTGGCCAGCACTAGCTGATATTTTTGTTCTTTATACAGTTTTAGAACAAAATATTGACTTATGAAAGGCCTTTTTCAATGCTTTGTATAGTAGTGGATTCAGGGGCACAAAATATGTAATACACATTTCTTGATTTCAGTTGTTTTTCTTTTGTATTAAACACTAGAGGCCCGGTGCACAAAAATTTGTGCACAGGGTGGGGGGGTCCCTTAGCCCGGGCTGTGCCCTCTTGCAGTCTAGGACCCCTTGGGGGATGACCACCTGCTGGCTTAGGCCTGCTCGCCAGGGGATTGGGCCTAAGCTGGCAATCAGACATTCCTCTGGCAGCCCGGGAGCCCTCGGGGGATGTCCACTTGCCAGCGGGGAGCAGATCTAAGCTGCAGTCGGATATCCTTAGCGCTGCTGAGGAAGCAGGAGAGGCTCCCACCACCACCGCTGTACTGGCAGGCATCAGCCGGGCTTGTAGCTGAGCAGAGCTCCATGTGGGAGCGCACTGACCACCAGAGGGCAGCTCCTGCATTGAGCGTCTGCCCTCTGGTGGTCAGTGTGTGTCATAGTGACCAGTCATTCCCAGTCTTTCTGCTGTTAGGGTCAGTTTGCATATTACCCTTTTACTATATAGGATAGAGGCCTGGTGCACAGGTGGGGGCCGGCTGGTTTGCCCTGAAGGGTGTCCCGGATCAGGGTGGGGGTCCTGCTTGGGTGCCTGGCTGGCCTGGGTGAGGGGCTGATGGCTGTTTTCAGACTGGCCACACCCCTTTCAGAGTGGAAGTCCCCACTGGTGTGCCTGGCCAGCCTGGATGAGGGGCTGATGGCTCTTTCAGGCTGGCCACCCCCCCTTTAGGGTGGGGGTCCCCACTGGTGTGCTTGGCCAGCCTGGGTGAGGGGCTGATGGCTGTTTCAGGCTGGCCACACCCCCTTTAGGGGGTGCCTGGCCAGTCTGGGTGAGGGACTGAGGGCCGTTTTCAGGCTGGCTGGCGACCGATCCCAGCCTCTCCTTGTTTTCCTTTTTTTTTTTATTCTGGGATTTATTTACCGTCTATAATTGAAACTTTGTTGCCGTCACTGAAGCTGAGAGCTGGCTCCTGCTTGCTCCAGTTCTGAGGCCACGGCCTGCTGAAAGCAGGTATCTGGGGTTTGTTTAGTTTATATAATTGAAACTTTGTTGCTTTCGGAGCTCAGAGCCGGGCCGCGGCAGGCGGGGAACCTTGGCTTCCTCCATCACTGGAGCAAGCAAGCCTCCTGCTCACTTCAGCTGCATGGCTGCCGGCTACCATCTTGGTTGGGTTAATTTGCCTATCGCACTGATTAGCCAATGGGAGGCGTAGCGAAGGTATGGTCAGTTACTATGTTTGTCTATTATTAGATAGGACTAGAGTAGTGATGGCGAACCTATGACACGCGTGTCAGAGGTGACATGCGAACTCGTTTTTTTGGTTTATTTTTCTTTGTTAAATGGCATTTAAATATATAAAATAAATATCAAAAATATAAGTCTTTGTTTTACTATGGTTGCAAATATCAAGAAATTTCTATATGTGACACGGCACCAGAGTTAAGTTAGGGTTTTTCAAAATGCTGACACGCCGAGCTCAAAAGGTTCGCCATCATTGCACTAGAGGCTCAGTGCACAAAATTTGTGCATGTGGGGGGAGTCCCTCAGCCTGGCCTGCACCCTCTCCAATCCGGGACCCCTTGGGGAACATCCCTTTCACAATCCGAGACTGCTGGCTCCTAACCGCTTACCTGCCTGCCTGCCTGATCGCTCCTAACCACTCTGCCTGCCTGCCTGATCGCCCCTAATTGCTCCCCTGCCAGCCTCATCACCCCCTAACTGCTCCCCTGCCAGCCTGATCGCCCCCTAACTGCTCCCTTGCCAGCCTGATCGCCCCTAACCACCTGTGCCTCGGCCCCCGCTACTGTGGCTTTGTCCTGAAGGACATCCAGAAGATAGTCTAATTAGCATATTACCCTTTCATTAGTATAGATAGCTAAATTATTATAAATGTATGCTTTTCTATAATTATAAAGTGGCATAAGTAGCACTTTTATCAGCTATAAATACTGAATAGATAATCTTGTTTTTATGTTGTTGTGATAATATAAATGACTACATTTTAAGTTTAAATAAATGACCATAGTCTTAATTATTAAATCTTTTTGTCACCAAATTAAAGTTACAGGTTATGATGAATCAAATTATTAATATTTTCAGGATGTGGTTTCCTAAATTATTTACTCAAGTAATAGTTTTATCTTTAATAACATGTTATTAAGTAAATATATACATATATATTTAAGATGACCCAAACTCATCCTGCACATTTTCTACCAGAGGCATGGAATCACCTATTTCTTTCTTTTATTCTAAAATACGTTTTGATTGATTTCAGAGAGAGTAGGGGAGAGGGAGAAAGAGAAATAGAAACATTAATTATGAGAGAGAATCATTGATCCGCTGCCTCCTATAAGCCCCCTACTGGGGATTGAGCCTGTAACCCAGGCATGTGTCCCAACTGAGAATCAAACTGTGACCTTCAGGTTCATTGGTCAATGCTCAACCACTGAGCCACACCAGCTGGGCTATATATTTCTTTAGCAAATACACACTGCAATATTGCTGGAATTATTATAAGCCTTTAACTATTTTTTCCAGATAATACAGAAAACTATAATGAAGAAATTTAGAATGGATCTCTTTAACCAAGTTTAAATTTGGGGATATATTATCCAAAGTTTAAAAAATTTCCAGGTGTATATATGTGTTTCATCAAGAAATAAAGATAGGCATATTGGTTTTTTAATATCTGCATAATATTCTGTTGTAATAGAACACTAATTAGTTTTCTGTAGATAAATATTTAAGTTGTCTTTAATTTGTTTTGTTTTACTCAGGGTCCATCTTTATAGATAACCTTTCCGTGTTTCCATGATATATACTTACGGTAAATTCATAGAGTTTTAGTTGCTGTTCCAAAGGGTAGACACATTTTTAAGGCTCCTGATACTTATTCCTATTTTGCCCAACAGAAGATTTGTATCATTTTACTCTTTTTTGCCTGATAGGTAAAAATTAGTATCAATTTTATTCATTAAGATTATAATTTTTAAGGCTGAGAAACTTAGGACAAACTTAACTATTAAAATATGTTTATAGCTTACGCAAACATGATAAGCCTCGGCGTTGTTCAAATTTGCAGTGTTTTGGTTTGCGGTGTTCTAAATACTGAACAGCTATAATAAAAATTATTTTGCTTTTAGTTTATGACGTTTCCGTAAATGAAAAATCTCTCAAGTGATTATTAAATTTCCTAAAGTTGTTCCATGTTGGAGGTTTAAGTCTAGAGAATGTAGTGACTTCAATACTCAGCTAGCAGCAAGTTCCTCTCCTGGTCTGCCCTTAAGTAGTAGAAAGACTTTCGTTCCTTCATCTGGATAGGAAGGAGTAGATGACCAGATAGCAGATATTTTTAATACGGCATAAAATTTTTGTTTTAGTGAACCTGATGACCAAGTAGCCTAGGTAAATAATGCCCCCAAATGAAATACATGATCCTGTATAATAAAGAGGTAATATGCAAATTAATGCTCATGCCCTCACAAGATGGCTGCCTATGACCAGGCCTGCAGGGGGTTAGTGAGGGAAGCTCAAACGACTGAAAAGCAGGCTGTGTGGAGCGACCAGGCCGGCGGGGGTCTGTGAGGGATGACCAGGCTGGCGTGGGTGCAGTTCGGAGCAACCAGGCCAGCAGGGGGGGCAGTTGGGGCAACCAGGCTGACGGGTGGGTAGTTAGGGGCAACCAGGCCAGCAGAGGGGGGCAGTTGGGGGCGATTAGGCTGGCAGCGGGGGCAGTGAGGGGCAACTAGGCCGGCGGGGGGGCAGTTGGGGGCAACCAGGCTGGCGAGGGGGGCAGTTAGGGGCAACCAGACCAGCAGAGGGAGGCAGTTGGGGGTGACCTGGCTGGCAGCAGAGGGCAGTTAGGGGCGAGCAGGCCAGCAGGGCTAGGGGGGACAGTAGGAGTGATCAGGCTGGCAGGGAGGGGGCAGTTGGGGGCGATCAGGCCAGCACACAGAGGCAGTGAGGGGTGATCAGGCAAAAGCAGGGGAGGCAGTTAGGGATGACCAGGCAGGCAGGTGAGTGATTAGTAGCCAGCAGTCCAGGATTGTGAGAGGAATGTCCAACTGGTAGTTTAGGCCTAATCCTGGGCCTAAACCAGCAGTCAGACATCCCCCAGAGTCCCGGATTGGAGAAGGTGCAGGTTTGGCTGAGAGGACCCCTCCCCCCACCCCCATGCACGAATTTCGTGCACGGGGCCTCTAGTAACTATATAAGCAATGATATATCCCACACTTTTACACTTAGATACCTTAAGTTCTTTTTATGCTTTTACTATGAGTGTGAATACCAGAACCCACACAATTATAGCCTCTTACATACTCAGATAGGTAAAGGTCACCTTCCAATGACCACATTTGATGACCTTTTCTGTTTCTCCTTAGCTTCTCAGTAGCAATTAAAACTTTGTATAAGAGAGAGGGGTGGCTGGAAGGGTAGAGAGGGGTGGGGAAAAACATAAAACTGTTAACTATGCCATTCCTTTTAAAAATTTATTCTTTTCCTTTGGCTTTTACAATTCAGTCTCTAGATACTCCTTCAACCCTCTGGCCACTCTAGAATTACATCCTCAATGCTTTTTTCTTCTTTTGTTATGTTCTTTTTTGGGGAATTTTATTCATGACCATAATTTTTTTCCCCTCAATTCTTCCCCCACCCTGAGCTGTCTGCCTGCTCTCTATCTATGAGTCTGTTTCTATTTTGTTAGTTCAGTTTGCTTATTAGATTCCACATATGAGTGAAATCATATGGTACTTTTCTTTCTGACTGGCTTAGTTCACTTAAAATAATGCTCTCCAGGTCCATCCATGCTGTCGCAAGGATAAGATTTTATTCTTTTTTTACAGCAGAGTAGTATTCCATTGTGTAAATGTACAGCTTTTTTATTATTTTAATTATGCTAAAAATCCATAATATTGAAACACAGTTAAGATTTTTATTTTAAATAATCACAAATGTTAAAAGATTATATCTTTAAAACTCAGTTTATATTTTTTCAAAAATTTTGTGTTTGATGAAAATACAAGTTTTGTTTGTCACGAGTACATTGTCTACTCTGGTCTAGATCTTAGCATAAGAAATAATTTGACATGTAAAACAGGATGCTCCTTTAAGTTCATTTATTTTCAAATTCTGTTAGTAGTTTTATTTTAAAAATAACTTTATTAAGATAAAATTGGCTTAAGAAAACACTCCTGAGATTTCTAGTTATTAGTTAGGATAGCAAATCACTTAAATGGCAATATGCTTGAATTACATTTTACAAACTAAAACTGCAAGAACGATTTGGACAGTATTTTTTATTTTATGCATCATCATTCCCATTGTTCTTTTTTTTTTTTAATAGCCGGAAATCACTGTGGAAAATCTTCCCACTTATTTAGGGCTTCAAAAACCATTACTTATTTTATTCAGTGATGGCATCATAAACCCTCAGTATCAAAAGGCAATGTTGACACTGGTAAAAGAGAAACACCTGGATTCAGTTATCCCTTGCTGGTTAAATCTGTAAGTATATTTTTAACTTTTAATATGTAAAAGGTAAAGAAAGTGTAATTATTATATTTTCGTTAGGAAGTGAAACTCTCTAAACTCTACCTTTGAAGTTAATATTTTGGGGCCAATGTACATGTCATCGTGATATTTTAATAACTAAACTCTCTCAGATGATCTAAAATGACCTTCTTTCAGATTGAATTCTGTTCTACAATAATTTTTTTCTCTGTGTTTTTTTTCAGCCTTATTGAGGTATAATAGACAAAAAAGTTGTAAGATACTTAAAGTTACATTGTGATATGTATGCATTGTGAAAAGATTTTTCCATCCAGTTAATTCTCACATCCATCACCTCACCTATTTACACACACGCACACACACACACACTGGGGGAGGGATAAGAACAAATTTAAGTTTAATCTCCTAGCAAATTTCAATTATACAATATAGTGTTATCAGTTATAGTCCCCACGTTATACATTAGAGCTTCAGACCATATTACAGCTGAATGTTTGTACCCTTTTACCAACCTCTCCCTATTTTCCTCAACTCTCAGTCTCTGGCAGTCACTTCTCTTCTGTTTCTAGGGGTTTGACTTTTTTTTTTTAGATTCCTCATGTAAGTGATACTGTGCCATATTTGTCTTTGCCTGATTTATTTCACTTGGCATAATGCCCTCAAGCTCCATCCATGTCATAGCAAATGGCAGGATTTTCTTCTTTCTCATGGCTGAATAATATTCTGTGTGTGTGTGTTGTGTGTGTGTGTGTATGCATATGTGTGTGTATATATATATATATACACACACACACACATACATACACACATATGCATATACACACACACACACATACATACATACATACTAGGGGCCCAGTGAATTCGTGCACCTTGAAAGGAACCATGGTTAGCAAGGCTGTGGTGGGCACAGGGGCGGGTCTCGGCCCATCCTCCGCGCCCTGCCCGGCCCCTCTCCTGCCACGGTCCCCAGTCCCCTGTCTGCCGGCAGCTCTGCTCCTGCTGCTGCTGCTCCCATGTGCTAACGGTGCTGGCCCTGCTCACACCCGCTGACAGCGCAGAGTGATTGGGGCCAGTGCCAGCAGTGGGTGCGAGCAGGGTGTGAGCGGGGCCAACTATGGGTGCAAGCAAGACCGGTGCCAGCAGTGGGTGCGAGAGGCGGCTGCCGGCCCCTATCGCCCCTCAGGAGCTGGGGGAGGTGGAGAAGCCCTGAGGGGCGATCGGGGCCAACAGCCACAGCTTGCACCCACTGATGGTGCCAAGAGATCGGGGCTGACGCCAGCAGCAGGTGTGAGCGCCAGGCAGGAGCAGAGAATTTTCAGTAACTACCAGAGGCTCACCCCAATGACAGCAGCCGGTGCCCTGCCTTGGTCTGGCGCCTCCGCTCACCTGCTCCACCATCCTGCTGCTGTTGACGCCCACCATATTCTGCGCATGCCCTCTGGTGGTCAGCGCACATCATAGCAACTGGTTTTTCAGTTGTTTGATTGTTCCACCATTTGGTCTATTTGCAGATTAGGGTTTCATATATATACTAGAAGCTCGGTGCACAAAACTTTGAGGGTAAAATGGTGAGGGGGGCGGTCCCTCAGCCCAACCTGTGCCCTGTCACAGTCTGGGACCCCTCGGGAGATAACCACCTGCTGGCTTAGGCCTGCTCCCCCGGTGGCAGATAGCACGCCCAATCCCGCCCCGCCCGCCCCACCAGGGCGCACACAGCACACAGCACACAGCAGGCCTGGATCCCGCACTGGGGTGGCCAGCCAGCAGCTGGGGATCGCGCTGCCGCCAGCCCCAGGTGGGGCAGCGCAGCGGGATCTGCCTGCAGTATGCAAATTAGCTACCATCTTTGTTGGTGGTTAATTTGCATATCGTGCTGATTAGTCAATGGGAGGTGTAGTGAAGGTACGGTCAATTACCATGTTTGCCTATTATTAGATAGGATACACTCACATACACACACACACAGAGTCACATACCACATTTTATTCATAATGCTGCAATGAATATGAGAATGCAGATATCTCTTTGACATCCTGTTTTTATTTATTTATTTTTTTTGGATACATACCCAGAACTGGGATTGCTGGATCATATGCTAGTCCTATTTTTTAATTATTTGAGGAACCATCATATTGTTTGCTATTGCACCAATTTACTTTCCTACCAACAGTGCACAAGGACTCCCTTTTCTCTGTATCCTCATCAACACTTGTAATCTCTTGTCTTTTTTGTAATAGCCATTCTAATGGGTGGCAGGTGATAAAGAGCTCATGGTTTTGATTTGCATTTTCCTGGTGATTAGTGATGCTGAGCATCTTTTCATGTACCTTTTGTCCTTTGTATGTCTTCTTTGCAAAAATGTTTAATTAATTCTTCTGCCCATTTTAAAATCGGATTTTTTTGTTGTTGTGTTTTATGAGTTCTTCAATTATTTTGGATCCTTTATCAGATGTGATTTTCCAATATTTTCTTCTATTCTGAAAGTTGCCATTTCATTTTGTTGGTTTCTTTTGCTGTGCAGCAGCTTTTTAGTTTGATGTAGTCCCACTTGTTTATTTTTGCTTTTGTCATACAATAAATTTTTAAAAGTAGTAATTTTTCTGATTTTAAAAGTAATGTCCCTTGAGAAAATTTTGGCAAATACAGAAAAATAAACAGGTATTTTGGCATTTTCCTTCAGTTTCTGTTTTTTTACTTTTCTATTTTTGAAATGTAGCCTAAATTTGAAAATTACAAGAATGGGGCAGTGTACATTTTTTGCTGTTGAAGAGTTCTCAAACAGTACAACCTACTGCATGATACAGAATTTTTCAGGTACTTGTAGGTATCTCAGAGTAAAATTGTATTTCCCATAATGTGGAATGTGCTGTATTAGGAAAACTAGGTATCTTAAACTTATGGTTTCCTTCTGTGAACATAATTTAAAAGATAATTTTAGTTTGAAATTAATATTTTCTCGTTGTTCCCCAAGAAGACAATTTTATTTGGAAAAAGAAGTATGTATTATAAGTATCTTGTTATTTTGTAGTTTGTAACCATTTAATTTTTGAACTGACATGTGATCAGATACTTGGCTAAACTTGGAAGGAACCTATTGATAATAAGCTGAAATTGTTAAAGCCTTTTCACTGTGCCTGTTTTTCATTAAAGCTCTCATTGGTTGCCTTTTTTCCTCCTAAGAGAAACACAGTGCCCCATCTTAAAAGAAACTTTTTAAGACTCTGATTACTAATAACATGCTTATAGACCTCATAGTTGTTAGGACATCTTTTCATAAAATAAACTTACTGGCTTGAAACTATATTTAAAGGTTAATGTTTTACAAACTATTCTTTTCATTATTTTGTTATAGAAAGAAATATTAATTATCATGTTCAATTGCTCTCTTTCGTAGAAAGAACACTCCTGTGGGGAGAGGAATTTTGCAGGTGTATTTTGAAGTTCTACCTCCCCTTCCTCTTCTTGTTGTGGTGAATCTGCATTCAGGTGGCCAAGTATTTGCATTTCCTTCAGACCAGGCTATAACTGAGCAAAATCTTTTGTTGTGGCTTAAGAAATTAGAAGACGGCCTAGAAAGTCATATCAGTAAGTTTTCTTTTTTGTTCAATACACACGATTATGTATTTTGTTTCATACATTTTTAAACTTGAACGATAGTTAAGGAATACTGGAATTAGTTGAATTGTAAATGTTTATAAGTATCCTAAATATTAATTTGCTGATAGCATGGGACAATCTCCTATGTGACAGGTATTAATACTCACAGAAAATAAGTACCATTGTATTAAATTTAGTAATTATAGCTAACATTTATGGAATGCTTACTAGGTGTCTAGCACAATGCTGAGTTATTCACATGCATTATCTCATTTAATTTTCACAAGAGTCACATAAAGTAGTAGTGCTTGTAGAAAAGTTAAGAAACTAGTTAGAAGTCATATAATTTACTAGTAAATGAGGAAGCTTGGATTCCAACCTGTCTCTTTTTTATTCCAGAGCCAGAATTTTGAACCATAAGAAAGTAGTTCTTGCCTTAGGATTTATGAGACTGGAATTATGATATGTTATAGTTTCTACTTTTCTAAAACATGTGAATTTATACTTGTGGTATAGGTGCATATATTACTTTACATACAATTATGGCAACAATAGGTCTGTTGCTATAATTTATGTATTTATTTAAATTAAATCATTATTCAGATTATTACAGTTGTTCCTCTTCTTGCCCCCCCCATAGCTCCTCTCCACCCGGTTCCCACCCCACCCTCTGCCCTTACCCTCCGCCCAATGTCCTCATCCATAGGTATACGATTTTTGTCCAGTCTCTTCCCGCACCCCCCACACCCTCCCCCCCCCCCGCCCCGAGAAGAGTCAGTCCATTCCCTTTCTATGTCCCTGATTCTATTATAATCAACAGTTCATTCTGTACATCAGATTATTTATTCACTTGATTTTTAGATTCACTTGTTGATAGATGTGTATTTGCTGTTCATATTTTGTATCTTTACCTTTTTCTTCTTCCTCCTCCTCTTAAAGAATACTTTTCAGCATTTCATATAATCCTGGTTTGGTGGTGATGAACTCCTTTAGCTTTTTCTTATCTGTGAAGCTCTTTATCTGACCTTCAATTCTGAATGATAGCTTTGCTTAATAAAGTAATCTTGGTTGTAGGTTCTTGGTATTCATCACTTTGAATATTTCTTGCCACTCCCTTCTGGCCTGCAAAGTTTCTGTTGAGAAATCAGCTGACAGAAGTATGGGTACTCCCTTGTAGGTAACTGACTGTTTTTCTCTTGCTGCTTTTAAGATTCTCTCTTTGTCTTTTGCTCTTGGCATTTTAATTATGATGTGTCTTGGTGTGGTCCTCTTTGGATTCCTTTTGTTTGGGGTACTCTGTGCTTCCTGGACTTGTAAATCTATTTGTTTCAGCACGTAGGGGAAGTTTTCTGTCATTATTTTTTCAAATAGGTTTTCAATGTCTTGCTCTCTCTATTCTTCTGGCACCCCCATAATTCGGATGTTGGTACGCTTGAAGTTGTCCCAGAGGCTCCTTACACTATCTTCATATTTTTGGATTCTTTTTTCTTTTTGTTTTTCCGGTTGGGTGCTTTTTGCTTCTTCGTATTTCAAATCTTTGACTTGTTTCTTGCGATCCTCTGGTCTGCTGTTGGAAATCTGAATAATATTCTTTATTTCAGTCAGTGTATGCTTAATTTCTAGTTGGTTCTTTTTCATATCTTCGAGGGTCTCACTAGATTTCTCGAGGGTCTCACTAAATTTATCGGCGGTTTCTAGAAAATTCTTGAAAAACCATATAACTGTGGTTTTGAACTCTATATCCTGTAGTTTACTTTCCTCCATTTCTGTCATTTGTGACCTGTTTCTTTGTCTCCGCATTTATTATGCTTCCCTGTGTTGATAGAGTGGCTTTCTGTGCTAGGTGTCCTATAGGGCCCAGTGGGTCAGCCTCCCCAATTACCTGAGGTGGACACTCTTGGTGCACCCCTTTGTGGGCTTTGTGCACAGTCTTGTTGTAGTTAAGCCTTGATTGTTGTAGATATCACTGGGAGGAATTGACCTCCAAGCCAATTGGCTGTGCGAATCAGCTGTGTCTACAGTGGGAGAACTTCTGTGCTGGAAACACCCTTCTGGGGCAAGACTTGCTTCAGTGGGGCTTTGGTGCTCACTGAGTCTGCCACTTGAGTGTATCCCTTATGGATCTGAGGAGTTGTAATCTGGATGGTCCCACTCTGACCACTGGGTACACTGGTTCTTGGATCTAAGGAGGTGCTAATTTAGCCTGTGCCGGAGGTTACGCAGCAGGAGCTATGGAGAGATCTGCAGATTCCTCTTCTTTGTTTGGGATTTGGAGGTGCCCAGATGAGGCCCAGCTGTGAAGCAATGCAAGCTTCTGTGGGGCCTTGGGCCTTCTTTTGGAAGTTCTGGGTTTCTCTGACCCAGTTGCAGTTTGTTAGGTAATTTTCAGATTGCAAAGGGCCAGGACTTTCATATGCAAAAGCCCCTGCTCGCAGCTTGTGTGGGGCGGGGTCTCAGGGAATCAACAGGGCGGAGCAAACAGCTATGGCTGCTCCTCAGTCCTACCCTAAGAGTCCCCGCGACTCAGTGTCCTGGTAATCGCTGCAAGCACCTCTGAGAGAAAGCTGCCCTCGAGTTCTGACTGATGCCAGACAGTCCAGTTTCTCCCTGTATGAGTCTGGGTCCCCAGAGACTCGCCCAGTACTGGAGTTCAGAGCAGTGGGGAGCTTGAGACTCCCTCTCGATTGAAAAATACCACTGTGTCCTCAGTTGCCAGCCTTTTCCACGTGCGCTTCCATACCTCTGCACTTTACTTCCGCACCTCCTCTGAGTCTCAGTGTGCTTTTCTCTTTCCTTCTAGTTGTAGAATTTCCACTCAGCCAGCCTTCCTGTGGTTCTGGATGATGTCCGTTTTGTCTTTTAGTTGTATTTTTGAAGTGGTTGTGCGAGGCAGCAATTTCCAGTGTTTACCTATGCCGCCATCTTAGTTTCTCCCTGTTGCTATAATTTAAGTAAGTTAATGTGTAATAACCTAGATCCTTAGTATATTGAGGAAATAGTGTGAAATTTGATATAACTAAGTCTCCTCAGGTGCTATTCACGTATTTTGTTACTTGATATAATATAAACTATCCTATATAATAAAATACTAATATGCAAATTGACTGAATGTTGGAATGACCAGTCGCTATGATGTGCACTGACCACCAGTTGGCAGATGCTAAATGCAGGAGCTGCCCCGTGGTGGTCAGTGTGCTCCCACAGGGGGAGCACCGCTCAGCCAGAAGCCAGGCTCACGGCTGCTGAGCGCAGTGGCGGTGGTGGCGGGAGCCTTTCCCACCTCCTTGGCAGCGCTAGGGATGTCTGACTGATGGATCCCAGACTGCGAGAGGGCATAGGCCGAACTGAGGGACTGCCTGCCCCCTTCATGAATTTCATGCACCAGGCCTCTAGTATTATAATAATGTTTTGACACTGTTCTGTGATAGAATTCTGAAGTAAGGGGTGTGTCTGTGTATGTGAATATATGTATATGTACACACACAAAGTTCTGATGTACAAATTCCATTTAGTGTGATATTGTCTCTTAACTAGCATGCATGGTGTGAGTATACCATTATGCATATTTGTGTATATTTAATTAGGCATTTGAATTTATTTTAAGTGTTAGTCATTGTAGCACACCTGTTCTTACCAGGTGGTCTGCTTCAGTTCTGTTAAATTAGGCAGTTTGACTAAATTATTATGTTTATGTAGCCTGTAGATGGTATTTTTATATTGAATCTAGAGGCCTGATGCACGAAATTCATTCAGCTGCCTCAACCCTTGCATTTCCTGCTGCCTCGCGGCCCTACCCACTGATCATTTTGGAAGGTTGTTCCACCGTCTGGTCTAATTAGCATATTAGCTATTTATTATAGAGGATATAATTCACATACCATAAATTTCCCCCTTTTAAAACCTACAATTCAGTGATATTTAGTATATTCACAAGGCTGTACAACTATTACTACTGTTGAATTCTATATTGTTGTCATCGCCCTAAAAGAAATCCTATTACCCATTAGCAATCACTCCCCATTCTTCCCTCCTTCCACCCCCTAACAACCACTAATTTGTCTTTATAGATTTTCCTATTCTGAAAGTTTCATACAAATGGAATAACTTATCATAAAATTTTAAGGATCATTCATGTTATGGCAAGAATCCATAGTTAATTCCTTTTTATGGATGAGTAATATTCCATTATTCTGACTGGGAATCGAACCAGCAACCTTTTGGTGCACAGGACAGTGCTCAACCAACTGAGCCACTCCAGCTGGGCATTCCACTGCAATTTGGATGAATGCCTTTGCCAATTCACTCTTTAAGGGGTTTCCATTATTTCTTTCTATCACTGTTCCTATTATTGAGTTATTTCTGCAGCCTCTGCAGCAAGGAAGAAGTACTTGTTTGTATTGGGTCCTGTCTTCTGTGCTGTCAGGGCCTGCTCTCCACTCTGTGGGAGAGGGATCTGAGATGGGGGTCTTGCATGACTCTGTTGTAATGATGCCACAGGTGTCTGCCTCACCTTAATTTCTTTGAAATTTTAGTTTGGATTTACACTTAACTTTGATCAAGTTCTCTGACCTTTTAAGGCTTTGACTTTCTCATCTATAAAACTGGGATAGTAATTATACTTACCTCATGGGGTTGTAAGGTTAAAATGGATAATGCCTGGTATGTTGTAAAGGCTCAATAGATGCTAGCTATTATTATCATTACTAGTTTGATAATAATGTATCTATTACCTATACATAATGAGAGTACAGTTTTATTTGCAGTTGAACAAATTAAGACTTTTGTAGTATTCCCTTAGCAAATAATTAGCAGAATTGTGATACCTGGTTTTAGATATTTTGTCATCTCAGACCACTAGGCTACAGTGTTTACTTTTTAAAATACTGCCAAATATGTGCTATGCTTTAAATTGAACTTTTCTTAAAGACACTTTAATGTCTTTAGTAAAGATATTTTATTTGCACCTTGCAAACTACAAATAGTTATTCTTATCTCTTATTCATTATATTCAAGAAAATATTATATCCATTTGTCACTTTTGTATCTGCTAACCTGGCAACAATAATTGGAAATTACAGGGGTAGCTTACATTTAATATCCTGCTAATGTTCCAGGTACTAGGATTTTATATAATTAAGTCCTATTGAACAAATTATATACCAATGAGTATAGATATACTTCATATGTGCAGATTTTTGTTTGAACTTTAATCCACTCTAGGAAATTAGAATTTAAATGAATTTCCTAAGCATTTAAATATATTTATTTGATTTATTAGAGATGCTTAAGTTTGTATCTTATGACATTTATTACTTTTGTCACATTGCTAATTTTTTCATCTAATATTCTTTCTTTCATTGGAATTTATTTCTAAAAGGTTTACTTGGCATATTTCCTTATATAGTTCATTTCTCAAAAGAGTATTTTAAATGGACCACTAAATTCTAAAATTGTTTTGCAGGATCTGTGTACTATATGGAGAAAAGATAGCTAATTTAGCTCATATATATCTTATCACATATATTATGATATCAAGCTCAAATCAGTTTTCCTCTTCTTTTTTCTTTTTCTTAAAAAATATATTTTATTGATTTTTTATAGAGAGGAAGGAAGAAGGATAGAGAGTCAGAAACATCGATGAGAGAGAAACATCGATCAGTTGCCTCCTGCACACTCCCTACTGGGGATGTGCCTGCAACCAAGGTACATGCCCTTAACCGGAATCAAACCCCGGACCCTTCAGTCTGCAGACAGACGCTCTATCCATTAAGCCAAACCGGTCAGGGCCAGTTTTTCTCTTCTAATGACCAATGTTTTAAAAGGAAGGAGACTTGACTTGGGGTGGTAAATACACAATACAATATACATGTGATGTATTATAAAATTGTATACCTGAAATCTATATAATTTTATTAACCAATATCACCCCAATAAATTCAATTTAAAAAATGATGCTAAGATTCACTATGACAAGCCCATCTAAGAATTATTCAATCCATCTGTCTATAGTACAGTTGATTCCATAACAACTTTTAATTATCACTGTCTATATTTATTTTTATAAAATGAAGTAGGTACAAAGGATGTTAAAAGCTTCAAAAGAGGAAAATGCTTTAAAATGTTAGGAAATCCTTGTCTAGATAAGAAGTAAATATGCACGTGCCAAAAATTTATTTTTGAATCATTCATAAGGAACAGTTCCAGTTCTTTGGAATAAAGACAGCGGTGGGTAGGGAAGCAAGAAACCTTTTCATTTTAACTTGTACCTATTGATGTGATAATCTCATAAACATATTACTGTTTTCTAAAACTTCAACAGGATTAACTGGCAGGGAGGTTATGAACCTTTTGTTTTCTTCCTAACTTTATTTACAATATTATAGTGTGCAAATATAAACAATAGAAATGGCTAGTAATGAGGAGTGTATCAAGTTTCTTAAACAATGTAGTAAAATAAGTAGTTTTGCTTAGGTAAGTAAAAGTGATAAAGTTTTCACTTCTACAAATATATTTTTAAAAATAAACCATTTTCTTGCCCTAGCTGATTTGGCTCAGTGGATAGAGCGTCAGCCTGCAGACTGAAAGACCCCAGGTTGGATTCTGGTCAAGGGCACATGCCCGGGGTTGCGGGCTCGATCCTCAGTAGGGGGCGTGCAAGAGGCAGCCGATCAATGATTCTCTCTCATCATTGATGTTCTATCTCCCTGTTCCTTCCTCTCTGAAATCAATAAAAATATATTTTAAGAAAACACTGTTTTTTAGTATATTTATGTGACTTTTTTGATCTGTTCATCGTTAACTCTTGATTGTATCTTTTTTTCTAGCAATTTTATCTGCTCAGGAATGGAAACCTCCTCTTCCTGCTTATGATTTTCTACGTATGATGGATGCTGCAGCATCTCAACATCCCACTAGGAAAGGTCCTGAGTATATGAAAGAAACTGACATTCAGGAAAATGATAAACAACCTGAAGATAAATCAGCAGTAAGAAAAGAACGGATTGAATTATAGGGAATAAAGCACTGGAATAGAAGTAATGTGTTTAAAGCAGAAAAATCAGTTAGGCATGATAAGAGTTATGATGTTCAAAAATGAGCTGATTCAATAGGGCTGTGGAAAGCTTTCCAAGATCTATTGGGCTTATTTAATAGACTTAAGAATTTATTTCATTAAAAAATAATACTAAATTATTTCAAATTTCTATAATATGAGCCGTATTTGTAATTTAGAATTTTCTAGTAGCCACATTAAAGTAAAAGCAAGCAGGTCAAATTATTTTTAATAATATATTCCATGAGAAAGTATACCCCAAATAGTTAATTTAACATAAAAATGAGATATTTTGCATCCTTTTTTTTCCATATCAAGTGCATATTGTATACTTAGTGCACGGCTCACTTTAGAGTAGCCACATTTCAAGTGCTCAGAAACAACATGTGGCTGGAAACTACTATATCGGACAGCTCTGCGCTAGACAAGAACTGGTATAATTAATTTACCTTAGTTCTAGCCTAATGTATTTTGAACTAAAATATAAATGTAACTCTAGTTTAATCACAGTTGACTCCACAGTAGGATCATACAGCTGGCAGTTGTATCTGTTTTGTTTTCATGATGTTAAAACTATAGTGTTTCTTAACCAGGGAGCAGTTTTGCCCCCAGCGGACTTTTGGCAATGTCGAGAGTCATTTTTGATTAAGGGTGTTACGGCATCTAGAGGGCAGAGGCCAGGGATGCTGCTAAATGCCCTATAATGCATTGGGCAGCCTTCCACAACAAAGAATTATCCTGCACAAATGTCAGTAGTGCCAAGATTAAGTAACCTTGTGTTAAACTAACCATAGCAGAGTGGGCTCTCTGAATTTTTTGGTTCTACTCAGTTACTGTGTTTGAAAAAATCTTGAATATTAGCTGGTCTTATTCTGATTATTATCTGGACACAACCTTATCTTATAAATTCTGTTTATAATATTTTTAAAAAGTAATAACCCTAAAAAGGACTCAGAGTGAGATATATATCACAATATAATATATATTGTGTTAGGTTTATTATATAGTCTATATAGAGAGAGGCATTCTATCTAATAAAAGACAAAAAGGGTAATTAACTGTACCTCCACCACGCTTCCAATTGGCTAATCAAGGCAATATGCAAATTAACTCTCAACAAAGATGGTGGTTAACTGCCAACAAAGATGGTGGCTAATTTGCATACTGTAGGGAGGGCGGGACAGCGCCATCCCAACTGTCCCGCTGCCATCCGGGCGTGCTATCTGCGACCCGGACAGTAGGTGGCCCATATGGGACCCAACCCAGGGCTGGTGGGTGCTAATGCACCGATCTGCCACCGGCCACGCCCACAACCGGCCCTCCCGCGGGGATCCGAGGATGGCGGGTGCTAAGGAACCGATCCGCCACCGGCCACACCCACAACTGGCTCTTCCGCGGGGATCCGTGGCTGGCAGGTGCTAATGCACCAGCCACTGGCTACACCCACAAACGGCCCTCCTGCAAGGATCCGTGGCTGGCAGGTGCTAATGCACCAGCCACTGGCTACACCCACAAACGGCCCTCCTGCAAGGATCTGTGGCTGGCAGGTGCTAATGCACGGATCAGCCACCGGCTACGCCCACAAACGGCCCTCGAGAGGGGATCCGTGGCTGGCAGGTGCTAATGTACCGATCAGCCACCGGCCACGCCCACAACCGGCCCTCCAGCGGGGATCTGTGGCTGGCGGGTGCGACCCCTGCGATCTGCCACCGGCCGCGCCCCCAACTGGCCCTCACTCGTTCGACCCAGGCGGCCGGGACAGCGTGGCTCCTCTGTCATCCCAGCTTCCTCATGACAGTTTTGGAAACTGACAGCAGGGAGGAGGAAGTCCCACCCCCACAGAATCATCCAGCATCAGCCATTAGTCACATAGCTCTCAGTGGCCTGACAGGCAGGACTCTCATTCACCTGTATCTCAGACTGTGTCAGTAGACAGGTAGTACTATGTCCAAAGAAAAACGGTTGATACAAGGTAGCTCTGCAGTCGAAAGATGTTAACGTTATCGACAGAAAATGTCTGCAGAGAAACATCCGTCTGATCTTGAAAGAAGGCGGCGTCTGCAACAGAATGTATCTGAAGAGCAGCTACTGGAAAAACGTCGCTCTGAAGCTGAAAAACAGAGGCGTCTTCGACAGAAAATGTCTAAAGACAAACGTGCCTTTGAAGTTGAAAGAAGGCGGTGGCGACGACAGAATATGTGTAGAGAACAGTCAACAACAAGTACTGCCAATACCAGTAGGAACTGCCTTCTCAGTGAAAATGGAGTAAATGAGGGTGCAATTCTCGAACATAGTTCTGGTGGAATGACTGTTCGATGTGAAATTTATCCCTAAATTTCTCGGATGAAAACCATCCGATGGGAAATTTACTCGATGTTGTAGCAAAGGGAAAGTCTGTCCAAATGATATACATTTTCCAGATTACCCAGCATATTTAAAAAGATTAATGACAAACGAAGATTCTGACAGTAAAAATTTTATGGAAAATATTCGATCCATAAATAGTTCTTTTGCTTTTGCTTCCATGGGTGCTAATATTGCATTGCCATCAGGATATGGGCCATACTGTTTTAGAATACACGGACAAGTTTATCACTGTACTGGAACTTTACACCCTTCAGATGGTGTTTCTCGGAAGTTTGCTCAACTCTATATTTTGGATACAGCTGAAGCTACAAGTAAAAGATTAGCAATGTCAGAAAACCAGGGCTGCTCAGAAAGACTCATGATCAACATCAACAACCTCATGCATGAAATCAATGAATTAACAAAATCGTACAAGATGCTACATGAGGTAGAAAAGGAAGCCCAATCTGAAGCAGCAGCAAAAGGTATTGCTCCCACAGAGGTAACAATGGCAATTAAATATGATCGCAACAGTGACCCAGGTAGATATAATTCTCCCCGTGTAACCAAAGTTGCTGTCATATTCAGAAACAAAGATGGAGAACCTCCTTTTGAAAGGGACTTGCTCATTCATTGTAAACCAGATCCTAATATCCAAGTGCCACTAAAATGAAACAAATCAGTATCCTGTTTCCTACATTAGATGCAATGACATATCCTATTCTTTTCCACATGGTGGAAAAGGCTGGGGAACAGCTGTTGCATGAAGACTCAGACAACAGTGTAGTCGACTATAATACTAGACAAAATGTAAGGACACGAGTCACCCAAATGCAGTATTATGGATTTTATCTCTCTGTGCGGGACACGTTCAATCCTATTTTAAATGCAGGAAAATTAACTCAACAGTTTATCGTGCGTGGATTCATATTTAAAAATGGAGGCCAATCGGATAAACTTCATCAAAGCAAACCAATCTAAGTTGAGAGTTGAAAAATATAGTGGTTTGATGGATTATCTCAAATTTAGATCTGAAAATGATAATGTGCCGATTGGTAAAATGATAATACTTCCATCATCTTTTGAGGGTAGTCCCAGAAATATGCAGCAGCGATATCAGGATGCTATGGCAATTATAACGAAGTATGGCAAGCCCAATTTATTCATAACCATGACATGCAACCCCAAATGGGCAGATATTACAAACAATTTACAACGCTGGCAAAAAGTTGAAAACAGGCCTGACTTGGTAACCAGAGTTTTTAATATTAAGCTGAACGCTCTTTTAAATGATATCTGTAAATTCCATTTATTTGGCAAAGTAATAGCTAAAATTCATGTCATTGAATTTCAGAAATGCGGACTGCCTCACACTCACATATTATTGATATTAGATAATGAGTCCAAATTATGTTCAGAAGATGACATTGACCGTATAGTTAAGGCAGAAATTCCAGATGAGAACCAGTGTCCTCGACTTTTTCAAATTGTAAAATCAAATATGGTACATGGACCATGTAGAATGCAAAATCCCAGTAGTCCATGTATGGAAAATGGAAAATGTTCAAAGGGATATCCGAAAGAATTTCAAAATGTGACCATTGGAAATATTGATATATATTCCAAATACAAATGAAGATCTGGTAGCACCATTTCTATTGGAAATAAAATTTTTGATAATACTTGGATTGTCCCTTATAACTCATATTTGTGCATCAAGTATAACTGTAATATAAATGTTGAAGTCTGTGCATCAATTAGAAGTGTCAAATATCTATTTAAATACATCTATAAAGGGCACGACTGTGCAAATATTCAAATTTCTGAAAAAAATATTATCAATCATGACGAAGTACAGGACTTCATTGACTCCAGGTATGTGAGCGCTCCTGAGGCTGTTTGGAGACTTTTTGGAATGCGAATGCATGACCAATCTCATGCAATCATAAGATTAGCTATTCATTTGCCAAATGATCAGAATTTATATTTTCATGCAGACGATTTTGCTGAAGTTTTACATAGGGCTAAAAGGCATAACTTGACTTTGATGGCTTGGTTCTTATTGAATAGAGAAGACTCTGATGCATATAATTATTATTATTGGGAGATTCCACAGCATTATGTGTTTAATAATTCTTTGTGGACAAAACGCCGAAAGGGTGGGAATAAAGTATTAGGTAGACTGTTCACTGTGAACTTTAGAGAACCAGAACGATATTACCTTAGACTTTTGCTTCTGCATGTAAAAGGTGCGGTAAGTTTTGAGGATCTACGAACTGTAGGAGGTTAACTTAAGATACATTTGTGAAGCTGCTAAACACCGGGGATTATTACTTGATGACACTATCTGGAAAGATATGATTGACGATGCAATCATCCTTAATATGCCCAAACAACTACGGCAACTTTTTGTATATATATGTGTGTTTGGATGTCCTGCTGCTGCAGACAAATTATGGGATGAGAATAAATCTCATTTTATTGGAGATTTCTGTTGGAAATTACACCGAAGAGAAGATGCCTGTGTAAACTGTGAAACACATGCCCTTAACGAAATTCAGGAGGTATTCACACTGCATGGAATGAAATGTTCACGTTTCAAACTTCCGGACTATCCTTTATTAATGAATGCAAATACATGTGATCAATTGTATGAGCAACAAAGGGCAGAGGTTTTGATAAATTCTCTGAATGATGAACAGTTGGCAACCTTTAAGACTATAACTTCAGCCATCAAAGATCAAACTACACCCCAAATGCTTTT